TTAAAGCTGTACAGATTGGCAGCGTCGTAACCTTTTGAATAGTATTAATCGTTTTTTTTTTTGAGCTCCACAAAAAACTGTCGATAGTCAGTCTACAATCTATTATTTTTATCAAAATGTATATTTTTTAAAATCTTAGGTATTTTTTAAACTGTTTGAACTTTCTCGGTGCTTATTCTATCAGATCATACTTCTCGCAAAAAATCATGATTGACAATAAGACTGACCAGTCGTCCATTTTCAATTGTTCATTGGAAGCAGAAAAGGAGAAAATAGATTACTTTGTAAAATATCTGTTTGCTCAGGCAAAAATGTATTTTTTGGAAGAGAAGTGGATAGGCGAGAAGAGAAGCATATTTGGTATTTAAAGGTGAAGTCACTAATGAATCAGCATTAGAAAACCATGACCAGATTCACCTCTTTTTATCTAGTTCTCGTCGCACCATTTCTGATTCAACTGCATTTCTACAGCGTGTCTGCACAAGATGCTTTATACTTACTTCGGGAGGACAATTCTACAGGTGTAACAATGTTGTAGAATCTCTTCGTTTCTTTAGTTAATAAATTGCTTTATCTTTTATATTATTCTAAATTTTTGAGCTACTGGACTTGTCATATAAATCCGATAAGTTTTTTACTATAAATATAATTTTGTTTTAGTGCTTTTGGAAACCTGCACTTTTAAATTCCTACAGTTGTAAAATACAAGAGCAGTTACCTTGTTTACAGCAAACTGCAACGCATCGAGCTGTGCTTATGGTCAGTTGTGCTTGAATGACACTTCTCTCAACACGCAATACTGTTTCTCTCCAGCAATCTGTATAACAGGTAAGTCTCAGAACAATATAACTTATTTATTAAATACAAGAGAAAGTGTGCAACAAATATAGAAAAATAGAACTGTAAAGATTCAGGTGATTGACAAATAATGAGATGCTGGTTTAGAAGTGATATTGCAATAAGCAGAAGCTTCTTTTTTTTTACGTTTTGTAAAAAGTTGCACTCATATGATGATTACATATTTGTAAATGGAAGAAAATGTCAAATTTTTTGGTATTTAGTTTTATCTTCTACTGGTAATTGTTCGTTACTGGAGCATCTGGGATTCACCATTGCTAGCGGGATGATGTATAACAGCACCACCTCTGATTTTCAACCATTTAGTGATAGCTGCTGCAGAAATGAAACAGAATTTTTGGAAACTAGCACGAGCATAATCACAAGCACAGAAACAGTAACAACAGAATCAACAATCACAGTACCAACAGTAACAACGACAACAGCATCAAGTAAATCATTCTATTCATTATCGACTGACTGGTAAACAGTGAAACTTTTCTGCTATCTATAATTATCAACCTGCAGAAACCTACATAGAAAATTTATAATACATGTGTTTGTCGCCTCCTTCAATCATTTTAACTACCTGAGTTGTTAAAATTATATTTTTACTTATCTTTACCTTTATTTATTTTTTATTTTTTTTTATTAGCTGTAAGCGAATGTGTCGACCTGAGTGTTGCAAATCGTGTATCTGATTGTTTTGCACTGTCTTACCTATGCAACAACGCAGTCTACTACTCACTAATGACGCAGCAATGTCCCTGTACCTGTGGTCGTTGTGTCTGTACTTCATGTAAGTTTATTTTTCGTATTTGTAGGTAAATCAAAAAAAAAAAA